CTTCTGCGCTTTGGGATATCTCTGGACCAGGTCCCTTCACCAGCATGGAAGTACTGTCTCTCCTGGACGCTGCTGAGCACCCAGAGAGGGGAAACATGTGGCTCTCCCGCTGTCACAGTGAATAGGTCCCAGCATATTTCGTGCAAGTTAGAAGCTCCCTGCTCTCATCCCTGCATCTTTAAACGAGGGAGTGACAGCACCGAGGTTTTGCCCAAAGACTTCTGTCTGAACAGTTGGTAAGCCTTTCTCCTTCACCAAAGCTCCTAAGCAGTTGTGTGTCAGGATACTGCTTGCTGATCTCAAAGGTAATGGGAAAAATTCAGCTTAATGAACAAGCATTAAGGAAATAATGGTGAAGGAAAATTAAAAGCGGTAATTGACTTCTAATTTCACCTTGGGCACGTTTCTCAAAATCACTGAGCCTCAGGCTCCTCAGCAAAGGGTCAAGCTGTGCTAGTTCTAAACTCTTAATTCTGTGCTCTTCTTTTTCCTTTACAGATGACACCATCGGTATGTCAGTGTCCAGTGCTGGATTTTTGGCCATGGTTTTATCTTAATAAGTCAGTAGAATGGAGTTGTGGATAATGGTTAACTTTGTGCTCAGGACAGTTAGCTTCTGGCTGTTTTTTACTGGGGAAAGTTGCCAGCCTTTTATTCCCCCTTGTTGTTTCTAGTGCTGGTCCCACCAGTCATAACTGTTGCAGGAAATATATGACCGCTGCTTTCTCAACATAGAGCACAGCTAAGCTGCTTGTTCCCTTTCTTTAAGGTGAATTAGTATTTGCAGGCAAGGTACATTTTGAACTTTATTTTGTGGGCAATACAGCTTTGTCTTTATAAGGGAAGAATATAGATATATTCTTCTGGGGGAGGGAGGTGCTGGAAATTGAACCCAGGGAGTGCTGAGCTCCGTCTCCAACCCTTTAAAAATTTTTTTTATTTTGAAACAAAGTCTTGCTAAGTCGCCCAGGCTAGCCTCCCGCTTGGAATCCTCATGCTTCAGCCTTGCTCTAGTAGCTGGGATTATAGACGTGTGCCGCTACTCCTGGCACAGATTTAAATTTCTTAATACACCCCTGTTTCACACGAGACGCTTGTTTTCCAACACCAAAGCATCATGAAAGATTACATTTCATTGCTAACACATATGTACTAATGAAATGTAACATTTTAGTAGTTGGAAGAGCAGCCTACATCCACTTAACTTTTCTTATTTGCCTTTCAGGTAGGACTTAATATTTTCCTAAATTTACAGATAGAAAAACTGAGACAGAGAAGTTAAAAACTTAGTCAGAGTTACGGTGCTAGTTAGCTGCCAGTACATAATTGAAACCCAGGCTATCTGAATTCCCATTATAAGTTCTTGCTTGGTATTACTCACTCAGCAGTATGTCATGGTCAACTTCCATATGAATACATATGCTCAAAAGCATTGTCTCAAGGGCAACATGGGATTCCACTGTAAGGGTATAACAGTTTATATAAGCAGTCTCCCTTTGGTGAACATTTAGGTCAGTTCTAATTTTTCCGTGACCCAAACATTGCTATGATAAACACCCACTGTGTACATTGTTACATGCTTGTCTTACTATTTTCTTAGAATAAACTTCTCTAAGAATTGTTGAGTCACTTTTTAAAAACTTGTATACAAATTTTCAAATTTCCCTCAGAAAAAAATTTTAACACTCCCAAAAGAAGGAATATATATCTATATATATGTATATATATGTATATATATACACACACACACACACACACACAAGATAGCTAAGGTAATTGCACTACTAATTTGTTACTTCATTGAAAGGAACAATTAGTGTTTATATTGTTTGACCAATCTTATACTCCTATATCTGATTATCTGAGCAACTATTTTGAAGATAACAATATACAGTATAGTACCATTGTTAATTTCCTATCATCTTGTTTTGAAATTCTATTTCTTTATTATTTTTAAAATTAAAAAAATGACAAAAAATTTTTAACACTCCCAGAAGAGTGTAAATTTTCCCACTTGTCACCAACAGTGGTTATTATGTATTCTAAGTCTTTGTCTCTCTGCTATGGGGACAACGGCATTTTATTGTTTTATAAGGTTGTTTTTTTCTCTATTATTAGACATTTATATTCATGAATTTTTCATTCTCCTTATCCTATTTATTTGTGAGGGTATATTCATTTTATTAAGGAGACATTGATTATTTATTAACGAAATAAAATGCAAATATTTATGCTCAGGAAATTTACATACAGATAAATTTTATATATATGAAAGTCCAAAGTAATCCTCTACTGAAAGGGGGCTCAATGTATAAGACCCAACCATTATGAAAACAGTGGAAGATGATCCGTGACAGGTGAGAGAGAAGCACAGTGAAGACTTCACAGTAAGGAAGGCATTGCTTTTGAAAGTACTGTCATTGTGCTCACCTCAAAAAATGCTTTATTTTTATGTGAACCCTGGACCACTTTTGGTTTTCTTCTGTAAAAGTATATTATGTTATTGAAATATTTTTTTCTTTGTACATCGTTTGTGGAAAAACAAATTTCAATTTCAAAAACTTAACCTATGTTCCACTATTATCCAAAAGATAAGTTTTTAAAAGTATTGTAATTATGGGACATGAAACTGCCAGTCAAGAGAATTTTGAAACAATCCTTTGGTGTTTTTAAGTGGCTGACGAAGAGAAAATGAATCTCTGTGAATTCATTTAATTCAGAAATTTTCCTTCAGAATTTAAAGATACTTCACTTAAATTGTTTTATGAGTTTAATGCTATAAAACTGTCAAGAATTTGGTGTGATTTTTAAATAGGTTTGAAAAGGAATTCATATAAGGAAAAAATTATCTTCAGTAGAGACAAAAGCCTTTTTCTCCCTTCTTTTTTTGGCTTAGGAGGTGACAAGAGATGCTAATTTGAGGACAAGATTCCCAACAGAAGGGAATCCCTTGGCAGAAAGCCACTCTCCCAAGGCAGAGGATTTCAGCTTGTTTTTAAACTACGGGGTGGTGAGCTCCAAGGCTAGAAGGAGATCCCAGCTAGCAGGGGCAGGCCAGCGGGGCGCTGCTGGGGTGGAAACATTACCCTACGGAAGGCCTTAGAGCTCCCTCGGTAGGAGGTGGTGAGTTCTGAGATGCACCCCTTTTCTCATTCTCTGGAGAGGATGAGATATGATTCCAAGGAGGTAATTACATTTCACTCAGGGTCGCAATGTTCCCCTTCGCCTTCATTACTGATAATAAGTATAGAAAGTATAGATACCGTGAACCTAATTTGTTGCCTGGTCCTTTTCCCTTCATTTCCAGAACATCAATCACCATCTACAAAGTGAATTTGAAACAGATTCCTATCTTTAGTTTGTAAGTGCCTTGAAGTCCTTTTGTAGCGCTGCACATGTAGAAAATACCTTTTGCTCTTTGCCTTTCAGAGGTAAATGTGGATATGTGTAGACATAGTCATGTGTTTACCCTACCTTCTCAAAACAATGCTCTTGATGATAGGAATTGCTGTTTGAATAAATGTCTTGGAAGGACAGAGGACTAGCCAGTCACCCCATCCATGTGTGATTACCTGTATAGTTGTGTGTGGTATTGCTGATGAAAGTACAAATGTTTCAGTATCCATTTGCCTCTGATTCCAGATACCTGGCGGTACAAGTAGTGGCTGGGATGGTGGTAGAGATCTGCATACTTCCATTCTCCAGGAACAATGAAAATAGGAGAGCTACTCCAAAGCAGTTTCTTTTCTCAATCAACAAACACTTACTCAGTGTCTACTGTATACCAGACATCTATTAACTATGTCAAACCTTCACCAGAATCCATTCCTCCTCGCTAACATCCTCATTTTCCCCACCCTTCCCAAACCAGGGTCCTTACACACAGGGTCCTTATCCAAAAAAATTTGGGTTGTTCCCCTCATTGAGACTTAAGTCTGCTATCTCCTTTCTTGAAGACACTGGCACAACAGAGTTTTATTGGCAATCACCTTTTTTTTATATACTAAAATAAACCCAAGATGCAAATTTTATAGAAAAAAAAAAAGACGAGCTTGTATCAGGAGTACTTTCTTACGTTATTGTGAGCACACGAACATTGCAATGGCTGGGTGTTAATTCCATTGTATGCTTCAGTTTCTTCACATCCATCCAACTGTTGGGTGTTTGAAAACTCTCCCTTTAGTCTTATAAACAATGCTAACATGAGCATCTTTGTTTTTCAAACTTCGTTCACAACTTGATTTGTTTCTTTAGGGTGAATTGTCCAGTCACTGTTCATGAACATTTGTCAGGACCAATAATCTAAGTTATGAGGCTTCTTTTCAGAGCATTTGTAGCAGTTTCTTCCTAGTGAGGGTCTGGTTAGTGTTCCTCACTGAATATTGAAAACTTTTAAAATCTTCACTGATTTTTTTGGTCTAATTTTTATTTCTCTTATTACTGTTAAGATTGGTTATTTTCCACATGCTTATTAGACATATTCAGTTTCTCTTTCATGAATTATCTGTTTATGGACTTTGCCCATATTTTTGTTGGAAATCTTGTGGTTTTCTGATTTACTTGCCTGAACTTACATGCATGTTAAGGATGTTAACATTCTGTCTTTAATATTTATGGAGCATATTTGGGCTAGAATACATAGGAGTATATTATTTGTATAACATATTATCATTATCACTGACAAAGTAACTTGCATTTTTAATAAGGCCAGTTTATGTTACTTTAGGAGGTAGTTTTCAATGTTTAAAACTCAATAAGTATTTTAGAAATTACATATAGGAAATATCTGTTGTATTATTGTTGTATTCAATGTGATGACCCTTCTCGTATCTTCGTTACAAAATTGTGAGCTCTGTACCCAGACCGAGTGCTTGAGACAGGTAGTGAGCTACATGGAAAGTTACTGAATTCTAGGTAAAATTCTAGGAATCCTCATTTCCTACTTCAGCTTCCCGCAACTCTGAATGGCAGCCCCTGATATGTTCTCCTTGTCCTTTCAGACAATTCTTCCTCACTCCAGGAAGATGAAGAGGTAGAGATGGAAGCCATCAGCTGGCACACCAGCAGTCCACCCACGAATGGGCACCCCGCCCCTCCAGTGACCTCTGCTCGTTTCCCCAGCTGGGTCACTTTTGATGACAATGAAGTCAGCTGCCCTTTGCCACCAGTCACCTCCCCTCTGAAGCCAAAAATGCCACCGGTGGCACCTGTAACTCCAGCTGTACCTTACAACTCCACTGGGTCCTTCAAGAGGGATCGTCCCAAGAGCACTTTGATGAGCTTCTCCAAAGTTCAGAAGCTGGACATTTCCTCCTTAAACCATCCATCCTCTGTAACTGAGGCACCACCTTGGAGGGCCACCAATCCCTTCCTGAATGAGACGCTCCAGGATGTACAGCCCTCCCCTATCAACCCTTTCAGTGCTTTCTTCGAGGAACAGGAGAGGCGCGCCCAGAAGAGTTCCACTTCCAGTACCACAGGCAAAAGCCAAAGAGATTCCCTCGTTGTCGTCTACCAGGATGCCATCAGTTTTGATGATTCAAGCAAAAGCCAGTCCCACTCTGATGCTGTTGAAAAACTCAAACAGCTCCAGATCGATGAACCTGATCACTTTAGCAGTGCAACACTACCTGATGATGACCCAATAACCTGGATCGAACTAGATGCTCACCCAGCCAGCTCAGCACTCACTCAGCCCAGAGACGGCTGGCCAATGATGCTCAGGATCCCGGAGAAGAAAAACATCATGTCCTCCAGGCACTGGGGACCAATCTACATCAAACTGACAGACAGTGGTTACCTGCAGTTGTATTATGAGCAGGGCCTAGAAAAACCGTTCCGTGAGTTCAAGCTGGAGATCTACCATGAGGTTTCAGAACCCCGGCTTCAAAACTATGATGAGAATGGTAGGATCCACAGCTTGCGGATAGATCGCGTCACCTACAAAGAGAAGAAAAAATATCAGCCTAAACCTGCTGTAGCCCACACGGCAGAGAGGGAACAAGTGATTAAGCTGGGCACCACCAATTATGATGACTTCCTGAGCTTCATTCGCGCAGTTCAGGACCGACTCATGGATCTGCCAGTATTATCAATGGACTTGAGCACAGTTGGCTTGAACTATCTTGAAGAAGAGATTACAGTGGATGTCAGAGATGAATTCTCTGGCATTATACGCAAAGGAGACAACCAGATTCTCCAGCACCATGTTTTGACTCGGATCCACATTCTGAGTTTCCTTTCTGGGCTTGCAGAGTGCCGATTGGGCCTCAATGACATCCTCATCAAAGGAAATGAAATCGTTTCTCGGCAAGACATCATGCCCACCACTACCACGAAATGGATTAAACTCCATGAGTGCCGTTTCCACGGGTGTGTGGATGAAGATGTGTTCAGCAGCTCTCGGGTTATTCTCTTCAACCCTTTGGACGCTTGCCGGTTTGAACTGATGCGGTTCAGGACAGTGTTTGCTGAGAAGACCTTGCCTTTCACACTCAGGACAGCAGCAAGCATCAATGGGGCGGAAGTGGAGGTGCAGAGCTGGCTGAGGATGTCAACTGGCTTCTCCTCCAACCGCGACCCTCTCACTCAGGTTCCCTGTGAGAATGTCATGGTGCGTTACCCAGTGCCCAGTGAGTGGGTGAAAAACTTCCGCAGGGAAAGTGTCCTAGGGGAAAAGTCTTTGAAAGCCAAAGTGAACCGAGGGGCAAGTTTTGGCTCAACTAGTGTCTCTGGCTCTGAGCCTGTCATGAGAGTAACTCTGGGAACTGCCAAGTACGAGCATGCCTTCAACTCCATTGTGTGGAGGGTAAACCGGCTGCCTGACAAGAACTCAGGTAGGTAGTGCTTTCCCCTTGTGGAAACAACCGTATGGTTGCTAAAGAGCCAGGGTCACTCTTCCTCATCTGTTCCTCTAGGAAGAACTCGCTTTTGTTATTGATGGGAATGGCAATGGAGAGGCGGGGGACCAGAACAATGGAAACATTTACACAGAGTAAGAGACAAGGGTAGCGACCCAGTTCCCACCACCTTTCCACCCCTTATTGTCATACATCTTCCGTAGAACAGTGTATTACTCTGCTCATTTGAGCTTACTGAATAGCTTTCCAGGACAGCTTCCGATCTTCTGTCCTTTTGGGACTCATTAAAGTATTAGCTGTGGTTCTGGAAGGAACTCATTTCCAGATCCTCGAAGGCTTCTGGGTTCTGCAGAAGCACCTCTGACTGTGCCCCGGATGAAAGTGAAAGGAGGTTTACGGCCAGTCGCATACATAGTGCAGCTGAGAAGCGAGATTTCTGATGCAGCCTCGTCAGTTGTAACAGCTCAACTCAGGGCTTGGCTTTGGGACACAGGGACGCAGGGGAAGAGGCAGGATATCAGCAGAATGTGGAGGTCCAAAAGGGCCAAGGTTCCTTCACACAAAAAGGAAAGGAAGGAATGCTTGATGTAAACGAGAAAACAGAGCAACTTACCCCCCCTGGCCGGCCTGTCCACCACCATGGGGGATGCGTTGCTTGAGTGAGTCCAGGAGGCAGTTACTTTCCTTGTGGGTCCACTGAGATTTAGTGAAATGACAAAATGAGGCAGCAGTCGAAGCAGCTCTAACAGCTTTATTTCTTAGAGTACATGTGGATGATCCCAGTGGCCTGCAGCAAGCCTGTGAGTCCATGAGCCCTTAAAGCTCTTGTCTTATTTAGAATAAATTTTGCCCACTGCTAATGAAAGTCGATTTGCTAAAAAGCAGAAAGAATAAGGTTTGGGAAGACTCCTGGCTGCATATTACAGCCTGCACAGGCAGCTTTTTTCCATGGTGACCATTAAACCCTGAGTGTGTATTGACAGCGGACCTGTCCTGCTCTGTGTGCGTAGTGAGTGAGAGACAATTGAGCTTCTGTGTCTGAGGCTGGGTTTGCTACCTTCTATGTCTAAACAGAGTTTTAAAACAAAGTCTCCTCGCTGTGCTTGCTTACTCACTTCCCCTGAAATCAGCACGGTGCAGTACTCTCCTGGAGAAGGCGCTGTGGCTTCTATCTCGGCCGTGGGGCCCATCTGACTTGACAGGGAAGAGAAAGCCTCCTTCCCCTCTGGCACCGAAGCCTTAGGGAGAGAAAGCTGTGGGATACCGGGCTTTCCAGCTCTTCGTTCTACATAGCTGAGGAAGAAGGCCCAGGGGGTGAACTGACCTGACTCTCTACAGACATACGGCCGCCTCCAGGAGCTTTTTCTCGGTGCTACAGTTTCTCTTACCCGATAAAGACAAGTAGACATATGCTTGAAATAATGTCCACTATAAGAGCAGAGATTTGCAGTGTTTCCCAGTGCATGTAAACATATCTTAAAATGTCTTAAAATATTTAAAAGTACTATGTCATAGTGCTTTTGGTTATTAAACAACAAAGACTAACCTTAGGTAAGAAAAAGGGTGGAATGAATATGAATAGCTCAGAGAACCAAAGGCAAGAATAGCTTGGTCCTCAGAAAGGACAGCTCTAGAACAACCCTGGTAACAGAAGGTAGTGGAAGTCTTCTCACGGTGCTGCCACAGAGACAATTATCACTGTCATTTTCTGCCCTTGTGCCCTTTGGCTGGAGTCATGGGGAGTCCAGAGCAGTTTGACTGCTATCAGCACCAAGATGACATGCACAGCCAGCGAAGATTATTTCCTAAAGGGAGAGAGAAAGTTTGCTACCAGAAGGAAAGGGAAATGGACCGGGCCCTGAAAAACCAATGTGTTCAGCAAACATTTTCCTCAGTGCTTTTCTAGTGGAGAGTTTTTCTTAATTTTAGAAGGTGCCAGAACAAGTCCTGCTGCTTGTACCATTGCAGCTCAAGAAATGAAACATTCTGTCCTGCACAGGTAGCTTTCTTTCTTGGAATTCCAGTTCTCATCAGACCAGGTAAAGAGACAACAATTCCAGGGTTAGCTTTTATGAGGGAAAAATCTGAATTTTAATGTTAATTTTCTCTATTTCATCAAGGAGGGTGATACAGTTTGTGGGTTTATTTAGTTCACTACCATGAACTAAACTATACCAGATTTCCAAATTATACCCCTCTGCCCAGCAGACTCATACGTCTAATAGCTGGGGCTTTCAGAGTGTGCTGTGAATGTGCTTTGGTGGAATGAGAGGAGGGAGTCACTTCTCCAAAAGAAATGATTTCTCAATACCCCAACAATGTGCAAATGAAGGTAATTAGGTAAAAATAGTCGCCTAAGTTGCCACTGAAATTAGAGTCTGCTGTTTATGTTACAGTAATCTAATCCCGTAGCAATACATTGAGAAGAATTTAGGACATAGTTTGCAGTCAGAGTCAGATCTGAGTTTTAGTCCCAGCTCTACCACATAAAGGCAGTGTGACCTCGGGCAATTTACTTAACCCTCAGAGAAACCTAATTTTCCTCATCTATTAAATCGGGCTATTAATACGTAGATTATTCAGAGTGAAATTAGGTAATGCTTTTAAGTGCTCAGCACCGTATCTGGCCTGTAATGAATACCTAATAAATGATACTATATAATTATATCTATGATACACAATTAAAAAGATGGCTTCATTTTTATATCATGTAAATCTTACTGTTATCTCTTACTTAAATTCCTTCCCTAAAAAATGGTACCAATTTTTCAGTTAATTTCCTAAAGTCTTGTTCTTTACAAATAAGTGTTGAATTGTGTTACATTTGTGAAACCGCAAACAAATACTTCACCCTGTCATGTTTTCCTTGGAGAGTGGGTGTGTATCTCCTACTCTCTGAGACTGAAAAGCCCTGCCCAGACCAATAAAGAAAATTGGAATTGTTTACTCGGGGAAGCCAGGGCAGCTAAGGGACTGTTAGGTTACTTGATTAAGCCAGAGCGGTTTCATACTGTTTATCCATAGCCCATCGCTACAGGGGACTCCTGCAGCTTCGCCTCTCTCTGCTGTCACCTTACAAACCTGGTCTTGAGGTTTGGGCACCATGAGGTTATGACTTAGGCAAAGGCCAGCAGACTGCTGAGTTCATGTTTTAGCTCTGCCCCTGTCTAGCTGTGTCTTTGCCTCCCAAAGCCTCCACGTCCTCGTGTGTAAAGGGTTCCTTACGAAGATTCAGTTGGAAAACTGTGTAAAGCATTTCACATCATGCCAGGCACAGGGCCCTGAACAAGTGTTTCTTGCTGTGTCTCAGGAATGACAACGGTGCTTCAGTCTTCATATTCACAGAGATAAGCTCTCCTTTTCTTCCAAAAAAATGTATGAATTTTCAAACAGAAAGCCTAATTGCCATCCAAGCACAATAGAATTACCCACCGACTTACAGAAGTAAAGAGCAGCAAGAGGCTGTGTCTGGCCTTGCGCAGCTCACCCTTCCACCAGCCCACCAGCTCTCCGCTTTACGGAGGAGGAGCTAAGGGGTGGCGAGGGCAGAGATGAGGCAGGGAACCTGCCGCCTAGGAGAGCTGGAGGTCAGGTCAGGCGTTCTGACGGTGGGTCAGGGTTCTGTCCCGTGCCTCAGGTACTTGCTAGTACTGTATGTGTGCGCTGTCTACGGTGTTTTTGTCACGAACATATATCGTTCACTCATGGAAACATGCCAGAAGTGCTTTTGAAAATACGAAAAGCTATTTTAAAAATTCATCTGTCAAAGGAAAGCAGTGATTTTGCTCCAGGTGGCTGTCACTGATGTTTTCTTAGGTGCTAAGTGCTGATCCCTTTCACTCCGTTCTTCCAGTCTGTCCTCCCTTTCTTCGTTGTGCTGTCTCCACGTATCGGTCTGACTGGAGAATGGCCTGTTTCGTAGGCTGTGGGTTTTATTGCTAGGATACCAGGCTGTGGTAAGTAGATGGGGTCATATCCAAGGATCTAAGGAACTCAGAGCTGATGAAAACCCTCTCCTCAGCGCTGGAATTTCTGCAGACTGGCAGGTGGCAAGTCCGTAGGTCTCCTTTGTTATTGAGGTAGCTTTTATTTCTTGACTTCATCCCCAAAGAAGCTAATCTCTGCATTCCGTCTCTCTTTCTTAGCTTCTGGCCACCCACACTGTTTCTTTTGCCACCTTGAACTTGGCTCTGACCGGGAAGTGCCTTCCAGCTTTGCCAATCATGTGAACGTCGAGTTCAACATGCCCACGACGTCTGCCTCCAAAGCTGCTGTAAGATCCATCTCCGTGGAAGACAAGACTGATGTGCGGAAGTGGGTCAATTACTCCGCACATTACAGCTACAAGGTAGCCTTGGGAGGCGTCTGGCTGATGTGTCCAAGTCCGTTTGTTCACCCGCAGCTCTCCCTTAATCCTCTCAGCAGTGCCTGACAGTCACCAAGTATTCTCTTACTGTTCTAGAGGAGGTTCACGTGCACAGCTACAGGTTTTCTCTAGTCTTCATGAGTAATCTTTCTTGTGGACAAAAGAAAGGTTGGAAGAAAATAAAGGGGCTAATTACGTATAGGAGTATAATATCTCTGTCCTTTTGGACAGCAAAAAGAACAGCGGGGTAAACTGGTGATTATTATTTATAATTAATTTATATTGGCCTTGGATTCTATCACAGTAACCCCCTGAAAAAAAGATTAAAGATTTTAAAAGGTGATTTAAGCATTTTCTATTCCCAGTGATACCCTTACATTTATATGGTGATTTATTGTTCTGAACATTTCCTTCATTGTGTGGGCCAAAATATTTAACTACCAAAAAGAATGAATGCTCCATCTTGTGGCCAGGGAGAAAATAGCACTTCCTTCACAAGCGATCTTGTTCTGTCTTCCATTGTTATCCTCTGAGTTGAGCAATATAAATATCCAGGTGCTGAGAGGCGCAACCTTAATGATAAAATTACTGCACTCAAAGGATTCCATCCATTACTGATTTATCGGAGGCTTCACTTGAGGTGTGTTGCTGTGCAGGCAAGATTGATTTGATTCCTCTGTAAAGACAGTGACTGTTTTGGAGAAAATGTGGTAGAACTGTAAATGTGCCACCACTTACCAATTTGGAAGCTTCTAAAACAGATAACAGTATTTGGATGGGCTTAAATAAACAATTACAAAGGAATTTATTCATTGGGTAAGGCTTTGTGAATTGCCTTCTATATTTCTACATTATTGGATAAAATGGTACCGATCTTGCCCCATCCTGTGGAGCCTGGAATAGTGGAGCCAGACAAGCACATGGGTACAGTGGAAGGGTTCACAGGGTTCATTAGAGCTGTCGCTCTAATGTGGCTAAAGCCCAGAACAATAGTGAAATTACCGAGAATCTGAAAAAAGCCTTGTGAGATTCTCTTTTGTTTATTTGCTGCTTTTTTCCTTGCTTCTGATATTTTTTTCCAACTTTTATTTTTGCCAGGTGGAAATAGAGCAAAAAAAGAGTTTGAAACCAGAGTTTGAAGGAGATGAAACGGAGAATCCCAAGGAGTGTGGGGTACAGTGACAAAACCCTACACACCGAGGGTGTCTTCCTGAACTGCCGGTTTAAGTCAGTACCTGCTGTGCCGTCCCATGTTGGGAACAATCTCTCCGAGACCTGCCTGTTTGCAGTTACCTGTCTTTCAGTAGGAATTCCTGAGGTGGTTGCTTAGAAGAGGCTTTTTGACCATGATCGAGCCTGAAGCATGTGGTTCATCTGACTTTTGGAGCTTTTTGTATTATTAAGCCTTCTCGTCTCATTTCTGCTTCTATCACAGTATGAGTGTGGTTTGTTAAGACTGTGAAAGAGTCCAGAAATGCAACTCCAGTATCACTGTGGGCGCGATTTCTTTCCGATATTCATCTGTCACCCATGAGTTTCTGGAAAACACGGTTTTGAAAAGTTTATTGAGTCCATTTCTGTCACTTCCTCTAAATAAGGGTCAGAAAAGGTTTAAGACAAATTTCGTGTTTGGGTCTACTAGACCTTTTTAGATGTCTCCATTCGTTAAATGTTAACACTATGCAACAGAACTCTCCAGATGTCTCTCCCCTGGTTATAGATTATTTAGATTGAAACATTTTTGTTTTCCTTTCTTTTAGGTTTCAGTCACATGATTTATTTTCCTGAATCTCACTAGACAATAAGAAAGGGCCCAACTGGATTTTTAAAATTCTGTGATGTACTGGTTACAGTCTGCAGGTGGATTGGATTGGATTCACATTCTGTTAAGAGGAAAGCAAAATTTGGCTGATTTCTCTTCATTTTGGGGAAGAGGGACATTAACTATAAGATTATGTTCAGTTCAGGAGACATCTTCTGTCACAGTGAATTCCCACAGTCCTACTGAAAAATACAGGCCCCTTCTGATTCCTGAAAGAAATACCTCAAGCATTTGTCAGAGGCATTTGGGAGTTCTTTTTATACCTCGTAGCCTAGACTGTTGCGTGTCTCTTTAACACATACTTTTTAGAAAATTTAAGCTGAAAAGGAGATTTTAAAAGCTGTTTTAAACTTTGGATAAGCTCTCCTATGTGCAGAGCTTGATAACCATAGTATTGTCATAAATTAAAAAGGCAGACTAGGATAACCATAGGGAAAAGCCATTATTTCCCTATGTTTGTGAACATTAAATTCTGTTTCCAAGAGTCAGGACATTCAGTCAGTCTTCTTTCTCTTCATTTTATTTGTACCTTGGTGTTTTATGATGAATAGAATGAGGTGAGAGAAAGCACATTTTATCTGATTTGTAGATGATACAGAAGTAGACACTATGTCAAATTTTTCATTGACAGATTCAAGGTTAATTTATTCAGTGAATGTTCATTGAATGATAACTGTTTGACACTACGTTATAGAAATCATTACAATGTTTTAAAGTATCTAAGCTTAAGACTGAAACTAAATGGAGGAGACTGAATAGGCATTAATGAGAAACTCTATATTCTGAGTTTTTTAAAAAGCAGCCCTCTAAGTACAGACTATATGTGTGTGAGTGTGTGAGAGTTGTGTGTGTATGTTTTTGTGTGCTTTGATGAGAAGGATGTTGGGAAGAACTTGTTTTATAGCCACTCATACAGAAATGTTTTCCTAGGGAAATGGGAGTTCAGTTTTGACTTGGCAGTGTATCACGGCTATCTGAGCTAATGTATTCAACCTGTGTTAACAGAAGTTTAGCGATATCTACGTGATGTATTGGTCAGTATGCATCTAGATGGAAGGTTGAGTTCAATTATAGATACTGTATTCTAAGAGAAATCTTAATAAGTTGCTTGCATTCATAGGTAGGTGACCAGGGTTGTGAGGAGTCTTACTATATAAGGAATAGGAATAGCAACCTTGAAGAAAAAAAATATAACTGGGAAGGGGTACAGAGCAGGATGGAATGATACAATAATAGCTGCCTAAAGGAAGAGGAAGTAGATTTAAGAGTTTTAAAGAGGAGTAAACCCAAGTAGTAAAATTTCCTTTTTTTGTAAAATGCCCAAACGTTCGAATGACTATCCCAGATGCTGTGAGAGGGACTATGACATTGGATTTTGGCTAGCTGATGTCCAAGATTTTTTAAACGTGGTTTCAACAAGAATAATGCTCTTTAGCTCCGGCTGTCTTTTTCCTTCATATTTTCATGCTGCTTGAAATAAGTGGAGTCCTTAAAAGATTTGCCAAAGGATTCCAAAGCATATCCTTTCCCGTGTTGTACTAAAGACACTAAAGATTTCTCATCGACTGTCCAGACGGGGCAGAGAATGGGCGAGATGAATGAAAGTCATGCAGCACCTTCCTCACCCAAGCTAGCACCGTGGCAAGACCTCTGCCTCGCCTGCCAGCATCACAGGAGTATTACTTGTTGGTTCTTCTTTTTCACCCATGATTAATTTTCACTGCCTTCTTTTTGGTTTTTTGGTTTTTTGGTTTGTTTATTTCTTTGAGACAGGGTCTCGCTGTGCAGTTCAGGCTGGCCTTGAGCTCACTCTGTTGTCCAGGCTGGTCTTAAACTTGCAGCAATCCTTCTGCCTCAGCCTCCTGAGTGCTGGGATTATAGGCATGCGCCATCACACCTGGCCCTCTCATTGCCTTCTTATTTCACCTGAACTGATTTTTTTTTTTTTTTATTTGTTAACCAAGAGGTGGGAAAACCCCTTCTATACTGTCTGCATTTGGTAAGCAAAGTAGTAATAAATTTTAAGAATGTTCTACCTTGATATCAAGTTTGTTTTGATTCTGCTATTTCTAAGAAACCAATTATGGGTAACATACAGGGGTTGGGGAATCTGATACAATATATTTAGTGTTTTACTAATTTTTAGTGTTTTACTAATGACCTACAACAAAGTCACAGGCAAATAACCTTTGTGATGTGTAGAATCTACAATTGCCATCCAGGATGTGAGTTTTTATTTTTAGATGACAAAAAGTTATGATATCAATAATGATATGGAAGCTATGATATCAATAATGTGAAAATTTTAAAAGTGAATTCATACAAACTAAATGTCATATAATAGCAACAGCTGTACTGTACTTTGAGTCTTGGGCTTGCTCTTTAACTTTACAGTAAAAAAGGAAAATAATTATACTCATTATGATATGTCAAAGAAGAGAATGTAAGGCATTTTGTGGGGGAACATTAAACCTCTTCTGCCTGCTGTTTTATCACAAGCTACCACTTTGTTCCTATGAAATACTATCTGGACAGTTTTATTGGCTTTTTAATTCTCTCCTTCCTACCTCTCTGCATTATTATGGGGCTTGTAATCCTTGAGGACATTTTTTTTTTCCAGTACCGGGAATCGAACTCACAACCTTGCGCTTGGCAGGCAGGCGCTATGCCGCTGAGCTAAATCCCCAGCCCCTGACATTTTTTTATTTAAAACATTTCTTATTTGAAATGAGACTAATTTCTGTCCAAATCCAGTGGTTGGGAGGACTCTATTTTCCTAGAAACTCATGTTCTATGAAATGCGATACATGAAGACAGGGAATGCCTCTTACTCTTGTGTTTTCAATACTTTGCACAAGGCTTGGAGTATAATAGGAGTCAGCTACCTTCAATCCTTCCTGGCAGGGCAAACATATTCATGAAACAAAGGGAAATTACTAGGTAGTCAATATATGTTTATTGAAAGAATACTGACCCTGAGATTCTGAGACTACTTAACTGTTATTTATCAACAAATATTAATATTACAGCAATCAATTAGCTTTCTTTTCCAGGAGGATTTAAGTAATTTTGTTCTTTAATTCCTACTTCCAGTGTCAACCCTTAAGCATTTAATGTGTTGCTGAACTTGAACTACAGTGTACCTTATTCATACTGGGAAACATTTTTTGTGCCTGCAGGTAAAGTAGCACAGATGCTGCCCTATAATCAGATTACTGATTCAGTTTTGTTGCTGGGAGTCAGCCCACACCTATGAGCCTAAACTTTGCACTTTAGAAGGGTCAGCAGGAGAAATGCATGTAGAATGGAAGTTGGTAGAATGTTCAGCCAGTCTTGGCGGGCCAGTTCTTTGTTTTCCCCAGTGTTAACCACTGACTAATGTTACTGCACATTTCTTTTGTCTGCCTATAAGATGGAGGTCTGACATTAAGAATGCTGAATCTTGTCAAATGAAATCAGCATTTCACAGCTGACTTAGATTTTATAAGTCAGTAGCAGAAAAGCAGAGAACAAGCTGAAATTTTTTCCCTTAATTTGTGTGAGTAGGAGGCACTGCCATCCAACCTACTTTTACAAGTTCTCCCACTTTGATCATTTTAACTCTTCTAAGAAATGCTATGTTAATCCCAACATATTTAGAGTTTTGGGTTCAGGATGCAATCTAACAGGAAATTCAAACAAAACTAACAAAAAAAGTTAAATCATTTAGGAAACAAATCTCTTTCATTTCAACTTTTTACTTTTTTTTTTTTATTCTTTTGTGGCACTGGAGAGTGAATCCAGGGCCTTCTGTGTGCTAGGCAAGTGTTCTATCAATGAGCTACATTCCCAGCCCCAATTCTTAATATTAGAGCATTCTCACCAAGTTTCTAAAGATGTCTAAAGGTGTTCCCTGCATGTTATAAAAGTCTAAGTACCAATTCTCTACAAGTCACCATTTCTTTACTATACTCTTCATAAGTGAGACAGGTTTTGGATATTGTGATTTGTATTTACATAATTAAGGAATTAAAAGTGAAGGAAATATGCAAGACAGCCTTAAATATAGAGAACAAATGTGTACATCAATAATATTTTCCCTGGGAAGCGTTGAGGGCCGGAGTTCAATTCCCAATACCAAAATAATAAATAATAATAATAATATTTTCCCATATATTAACTAAAGTAAGAATGTGGGATTTTCACTTCTATTGTGCCTTAATAAATCTGCTTGAGAAAATCTAGCCCTTTGTTTTGAGTATTGAGAAAGAAAAATGCATTGCTCAACTTGCACTTACAAGCTTGCCTGTAAAGGCAGGAACTTTCCATATTAATGTGTTTGGCAATGCCTGCATAAAGGCAAGTAATAACTGGATGTAATACAAAAAGCAGACCTAAGAAATAGAAATTGAATATGAAATATATAAAGAGAAGAAAATATAGCGTGGGCCACCAGTCTTCAAAATATTTGAAATAGAGGCCATTTCTTAAAGCTAAAAGTAAGAACCTATCGGGGGGAAAAAAGAGATTTCATAGCAAGGGTAAGCAGTAGAATTGTTCAGCTCAACAAATATTTATCATGTCTAGTCTGGTCAAGGTGCTGTGTTAGCCAGCTTCCCTGAAAGATCAAAGGCTAAGCACAAGGACACTGAGGATTGTTTATGTGAAGTCCCAATTCAGCTTCAGTTTCCAGAGAGAGAGACACTTACTCTTTCCTGATACACTTTGATACCACTTCCTTTGATATTCCATGCCAGTCTGACTTCACATATCCTTAGAAAGCAAGAAATTGAAATATTGAAGAGTGGGAAACCCAGCTGGTTCGTCTTTTCATGTCTTTAACCTTTACCAGTTGCCCAGAAGACAGAACAAAGAAAACCCTGTGATCCTTTATTTTGCACTTGCCTTCAAAACACCAGTTAAAAAGGAGGATCAAAGAGGATGGTGAAGATCTGTTGGAATGTGTCTCTGGATGTTCCATGGGCATCAGCCAGCAAAATAGTGGTGTGAGTGTGAAGAACAGGCAGCCCTCCAAGGTGGATGTTAGGATTTAGGTACAACTGCAAACAGAAGTAGAAACAGTTAATGTTTAATAGTTTGATCAATCTTACAGGTCTATATTTGTTTACCTGAGTAACCAATTTGAAGATACCAATATGTAATACAACAACCATCATTAACTTCCTATCACCTTGTCTGAAATTCTATATTGCTTGTATTGTTTTTGTGTTATTTTGTAAATGTGTGTGTTTGTTAATAGGTTTTTGTTCTTTTATCTTTAAAATGAAAAAAATAAAACTGTAACCCACCAAGGACTGAGGATGTTAGCATGGTCCCTGACTTACAGATATGCCCTTTTGTACAAATGACTAAAGCAGAGAAAAGTACTTAGTAAGCATCCTGGGACGATTTGTTAAGTATGGCAGAACCAAATGAGACAAAGGAATAGTCCCCGAACCCCGACCACCTCAATGCCTCTTAGTAACAGAAAAACATAAAAAAGTTAAGAACATGTACAAGCTACAGATAGCTTCTTTTATATGACGTGTTTCATTATGATTTTGATTTCTTGTACTTAGTTAGATGTAATGGATGGATTCCACCTGGATAGGTCAGGTAATTCTAGCTCCTTCCTCTTCACTCCCATGTTCTGCCTCGGATCACACCCTCAACTCTAGTCGTGCACACCATCTGGTCACACTAACTGCAACCTTACACCATGCCACTTGCAGCCATGTGCTGTAGAATGGGCAATCCTAGCAGTACCTTATGGGGTAATGGCTCTCAACAACAGCCTGTTGGGTTTAAGGGTGTTAAAGTTGGGGATGAGAGAAGGGAATGATATAAACTCCTTTGATCCTCAGCCAGCATTCATTTAACCTGCATGTCCACTTGCTAACAGAATCTGGAGAAAACATTGCCATATCCAAGAGATTAATCAGAATCAGTGCTTTAGCCAGGGGGACAACAGAGGAATGCCCCTTCTCGTCCTGCATCTTTGTAAAGTCCATGGTGAATGTCAGTGTGTGAAGCAGATGAACCCAAGAGCCAGTGAACGATTCAGCTCATGCAGGGCTTGTATTTTCCTTCCTTCATCATCCATCCGCATTTTATGTTATTTCTTGCACTATTGTGGTTAATTTTATGTAAAACAAGTTTACTTTTTTTTTTTTTAGAAAATTAAAATGTGCCTCTGTAATAAAGTCTACACACTGGCTATCTCTGTAGATGTGAGGTTTTGTTTTAGATGTTCTACTGATTATAATCTGTAATGCCTTTTTTGAACTATGAAAATGAGCTGTTAATAAAATTTTTAAGCAAATGCTCTATGTAGTGTTTAATGAAAGTGGCTATAACAAAGAGTGAATGTTTATTATCTAGGTCCATCACCCAGTGGATATGGCCACAGATCATAAGCTGACACGTTAATAAGGGACAAGTTTAATTATTCTAGTTAAATTTATCATATGTAATTCCTGCTTTGTGCCCACTACTGTGAGAAAGTGAATGAAAATGATAAAATCCTTAAGGTTTTCTCAGGGAAAAGTACATATATAAAAAGTGAAAAAATATTAAGGAGCATATAAATAATAAAATTGTATGATATTCCTGGCATATTATCAACGTCCAACAAGTAACCATTCAGTCAATTTGTGAATTCTAATAATGTCAACAAATTCATCTGTGAAAAAAAGTCAGTGTAGACTAGAATACTTACGAAGTTTTCACAGGAGAGATGGCTTTTAGATGAGACCTGGAGGTGGGGTAGAAAATTTGGCTCAGTGGCAAGAGGAAGGCAGCTTGGCGCTGGAAGAAGCAGGAGTAGAACTGGTATGTTGGGTGAACAGGAAACCAGCCTGACCTGGGAAGTCTTCCTGCACACCAAGAGATAAAGTTGACTAGACCGAGCTGCGGTTAAATTTGCATCTGACCCAGCAATGGGCTCAGTCCAGTAAATGCTGTGAAGCAAGTTTGGAACCCTGCCAGTAAAGCATCACTCTAGAAAGACCAGTCTGTCAAAAAGGTATTTTGTACTATGGGAAAGATTAAAGGCAACAGAAATAATTTAAAGTGCTTTTTAGTAAAGCAAAACAGAGCTTTGTGTTTTATTTAGTGCATATTGAGCAGGGACATTTTATGGTACAATACAAGCCTTTATTAGGGGGAAACTCATAGTTCAGTGTTCTGTGCCCTAAAGAGAACCTACTCAGTGCAAAACCAGAGCTAGTAACTTAGATGAAGTACACAAACGAGTTAATAGCCAGATAAGAGCTTACTATTTTGTATAGTTGAGGACTGTGAAGAATGTTCTGCCCATTATTGTTCCATCCCAAGGTTGGAGACCTAACCGTCTAGGTTTCACATTGTTACAAAACTTTCCTTTCTAGGGCCAGGTATGCTCATCTATGTTCCAGGTTTGGGTAGGGAAAATTGAGGATGAGCAGACAGCAGTCTTGGTGTCCTTAGTGTCATTTGTCCTTGTTCCAAACTCTTCTCTGCTCTTTGATCGCCTTCAACAGTTTCCTCTGTATTCTCCCTTGCTAGGCAGCTTCCTCTATTCTCAAGACATAGTATTAGCAAATACTTACATAATTACTTATGTAATGCTTACAACTGTTGGTGCAAGGATTTAGATGTATTATTTAATGAAGGTAACACCTCTCTTCATTTTGTGACACACTACACTAATAATTCCAGGCAGGCGGATGTTTACCAAAGGTTAGTAATGGAGGAATCTACAGCACAGAAACAGGAAAGAACAACTGACGCTCAGACATTCCTGCTCCGAAAGTTTGTTGACCATAGCCCACAGAAGGAATTCCTTATTGAATGTCTTTCCTTTTGTCTTAACCTGACTAGTTAGCTTAACTCTTCAAGTTCCTAAACCACTCTTTCTGACTGCCAACGGAAAACTGAAAGCTCTTCTTAAAATCTGATCTTTAAGGGGTGTGGCAGCACACACCTGAAATCTCAGCTACTTGCAAGGCTGAGGTAGGAGGATCACAAGTTTGAGACCAGCATGGGTGTTATAGTCAGGATTTACAAGGGAATGAAAACACAGGACACAAAATTATACGATTTTATAGTATTCACCCAAAGAGTCAAATGCAGAAGAGTGCAATAGATTTATCCATGCACTAGAGGCCCAGAGTCCTGCTGAGAGCCTGGATCCCATGGCAGTGTCCTGCACGAGTCCAGCTGAAGACGTACAGCCCATGGCAGTATCCTCCACAAGTCTAGCTGGAGGCCTAGAGTCCACGACAATGACTCATGCAAGTCTGTTCCAAGGATCTGCACTGGGAAGGCCCAAAGGTCAGTGATGGAAGCTAGAAAGTCTGGGCCAGCAGGATGAGGGATCTGTGCCAGGAGGCTGAGGGATCGGCGCTGGAGACAGGAAGCAATGCTCAAGGTAAGGACCAGAGCTCCTCTGAAGAGAACTTCAGCCATCCTCAGCAACGTCACAGGCCTGAGCTCCAATGATAAGAACAGCCAAGTTCATATCAGGAAATCCAGCATGACAGTCTTCTCCAGGTGAATCAACAGCACAACATCTTCCTTTCCAGTTCTCTTTTTAAGCTGTTGGCAACAATCCTCAGGTGGGCTCCCCACACCCAGCACCACGATGATTCAGTTCAGCTGGGTAAGTTGACCATTGGTTAATCCACTACAATGGACAATGTAGAACTTGTCTCAATATAAAAAATGAAGAGGGCTGGGATGTGGCTCAGTACTACCCTGCAATACAAAATTTAAAAAAGTAAATTCCATCTATAGTGGGACTTAAATTCTAAAGTTTAACTCTTAAAAAATTATATAAATGGCCCATAAAGTAAATGAAGGGATAAATCTTTTCTAATGACAGTTGCTTTATGAACCACAATTAATTTTTAAACCTCCTCGAGGATTTTGAAAGAGTCATTATCAACCATGATCCCAAGCCACCTGGAAAATATGTCCCATTTCCTGACATGAACTGACCATTTCAAATTTAGCAGATCTTTTATCTGCCTCACAGACCCGCAGAGTAGGATGGCAGAGCAAGCAACTTGGAGGTAAAATGAGTGTGCACTTTACTTTGCACTTACTGTCCCATCCCAGGCTATCATGGGCTCATTTTAGTATCTTTGGCCATTTCTGTGTAACAAACCACCACAAACCACAGTAACTTATGCAACTTGTTTTTTAATTGTCATTGATGTATCTGTGAGTCTATTCATGATTGGCTGACATAGGCTAGTCTCATTTACATCTCTGAAGTATTGGCTGAGAATTCTGCTGCAGGCTGGGTTTGACTAGGACATCTTAATCAAAATAAGCATGATCTGTATGTGTGTTGTCTTCTTGGAGTGAAAGGCTTGATGGAATATGTCATTTTCGTGGGAAGGAAAAACAGAAAGAGTGGAAACACAAGCTTTTTGAGTCCTGGATTTAGAAGTGGCCCACATCTGCCATATTTTTCAGACCAAATCAAGCCACATGGCCAGACCCAGATTACAGTGATAAGAAAACATAATCCACCCACTTAGTGTACTACAAAGTCAGAGGGAAAAAAGATTTATGTAAGGATAAAGAACTGGAACCATTACTTTAATCTATCACAGTCTTCATAATTATCAAATATCATTATACCCATTTCATTATTTCATTGTTAAATAAACTGAGCCACAGTCTTAAAATGTGAGTTTGTAGAATTTTTGAAGCTTCTCATGACATTGTTCTTGAAGCTTCTCATGGCTTCTTACCAGTGCAAACCGCCTAAAAGAAGGACCTTTCAGAAGATGTTTATGCTCATCTCTTTATCTGCTACACCATGACAAACTGAAAGGATGCCAGGATATCCAGTCTTGGTATTTTAAACTGTTCCTGATATTCCATTGATCCTCAGGATCACTATATCAATATGCCTCACATCTCTGTGTGACTCATGCACCAGTGGGGCATGCGTTGTTTTTCCCAATACCACACCAATTCATCCATGCGGATGGCTTCCTCTTCCACTCATAATGTCCAAAACTCATTATGTTAGCAACACTCTTTAGCTATAATGTCTGCTGAACTTTTCCTTCACTTAATGCTTGCCCTGAAAGAAACCCAGGTGTCCACTAAGGACACTGACTGCCCTGACAGTCCACCTAAATGGGTGCCCTTCTCTTTATACCATGTACCTCTTGACTTGATGATAAGAGGCAAGATCAGTATTCTCCTTGCTTCTTATTACAGCTAATAAATTGCTGTTCTTCCTCTTGAAAACTTACATCCTTTGAGGTTTGTTCTTTTAGATGTAACTCCAAATACTGTGATCCCATTGACCTCCAAGTCTTCCCCCACCCATTGGTGATTTTAGCACGAAGCACTTGGCTTTCTATCTTTTTGTTCAGCCCTACTCCTGTCAACCATTCTTTTTTTCTCTTTGAGACAGAGTCACACTGTAATTCTGGCTGGTCTTAAACTCACTATGTACCCAGGCTGGCCTCAAACTCACAAAAACCCTCTTGCCTCAGCCTCCAGAGAGCTGAGATTACAGGTGTACACCACCACATGCAGCCCTGTCACCATTCTGAATGTTAAACCAATGATGAGGACAGCTATTTCCTTGCTCAATTCTGAAGATATTTTTTCCTTTTTCTCACTTCAGCTATTCACTCCTATAGACATACATTTGCTAAATAAGTATAGTCCTTGATCCAAACACCCAACTCTGATCACCATACCCATCAAATGACTTCTTTAACACTTCATTTCTAAGAATTTTTTTTTTTTTACTTCATTACAACTTACAATTCCAAGAATCTATTATTTTCTTCATCATCCATCACTTTGGGAAGATAAAAACTTCCCATTTATCCCCTAAGGTTCACTAGTTCATTATCATAGTCACTCACCTCAGTCAGGGCAAGTAGTTTCTCCTCAGGAAGATGACCACGTCACATCTCACACCCCACAGAATCAAGGTGTAAGGGAATTTAAAAAACAGTCTCTTCTGGACAGGTGTGGTGGCACATGCCTATAATGCCAGCACTGGGAAAGCTGAGGCAGGAGGATTGCCGCAAGTTCAAAGCTAGCCTGAACTGTGTAGCGAAACCCTCTCTCAAAAAACCAAAACCAAGAATAAGAAGTCTTTTCCTAGACAAGACTAGTGCTGTGGTGAAAATGTATTCCCTGGAAACTTAATCTCCAATGCAACAGTAGTAGTAAGTGAGGCCTTTTGGGAGATGCTTAGTTTATGAGGGCTCAGTCCTTAGGAATACATTGGTGTCCTTATAAAAAGGCTTAATAAAAAAAAAAAAAGGCTTAATGGAAAGAGTTCACCCTTTTTTGTTCCTTCTGTCCCTCCCACCCGTTTTTGTCCCTTCTGTCCCATCAGTGCTTTCCTCCCCTCTGGAGAATGTGATAACAAGGGGCCATCTTAGAGGTGGAGACCTGGTTCTCACCAGATATTGAACCTACTGGTGCCTTGATCTTGGACTCAGCCTTAGATCTATTAGAAATAAATTTCTGTTCTTTATAAATTACCCAGTCTCATGTATTTTGTTATAGCAGCACAAAGGGACTAAGACAGCTAGCTAAAATGTAGCATATTCTATTATTAAAGGAAAATGAAAAATACATATTTGAGGACAACTAATGATGGGATTCTGTTAGTTAAGCTCAAATACCAAGCTACTTTCTGTTTTCTCACAAATACCTGATTGAGACCAGGAAAAAACCTACAGCCATTATGATTTTCACTCTAAATCTCAAATGAGTGATCAATTCTACATAACCTTACATGCTCCCTTTAAAAATTTGATCTTTTTCCCTCAAAAAAGTCTAGTTTGTGCCTTCTGTGCTTTTTTCAAGGTTCCAACAATTCTGTACTACTCTTTACACAGAGCTCTTATATGCTATCTTTTATATTGTGGATTAAAAAATGAAAGTAGTCACAGGAATGTCATTTTCCTCCCACCACCAAATCTGCCAACCCAGCAATATATTCCCAACAATAACTTTAACTCTATTTTCTCACTCTTCTCTTTTTTAAAAAGACTTCTCTTTCTATTTTACTTTTACCCAATTGTTGAATTCATTTATACAAATATAAATTGTTCAAATAACACAATATTTCTTCATAATAAAGGTGGCACTGCCAATGGATTTTATTTATGAGTTGGCACACAAATAGATAACAATCATAAATTTATGTGCACCAAATACTGATGCACTCAGCTACATAAAACAAATCTTGACAGACATGAAAGATCAAATAAGCACTAATACAGTTGTAATGGGGGACCTTTATACCCCACTGTCACAAATAGATGAACTAGACAAAAATAATCAATAAGGAAATATCAGAATTAAACAAGCCTGTCAGCAAATGGACTTCATAGATGTGTACAGAGTGTCCTCTTTTACAGTACATGGAATCCCCCTATTCCTTGCAAATGTAAGCACTTCCTCTTGTGCTCAAACTATCATGGAATCTTTCTTGAAGATAAAATACAAAATAAGCAATTCACCTTGTATTATTATGCTTTGTTTTTCTGTTGGACTATTCTCACCAACTTGAAAATAGTCTCTGAAAATCTCACCTTCAAAAAAAAAAGGGTTTGAGGAGAGGATGCTAGGAAGGTGGAAAAACAGGAAGCACTGACAGAGTCTGTCTTCTGTAACTATTTTGGAACTTTGCTGTCAGTTGAAGGCTTGCAGCTTCCAAGGGAAGGCTTAGATCGTAAGTTGCAGTTAATTTGGGGCATTTTCAGCTCTTAGCACAGTAACTGTTACCCATGTCCCACCATTGAGCCCCTTGGCAGGCAGCCAGGCACTCCTTCCAGGAGCAGCTTTCATGCAGTTTTTTAGGAAATGGGGCAGGCAAAAAAGACACTGCTCCAAATATCAGGGATCTGTGCTTCAATCACTGATTGCTTTATCTGAATGCAAATGTGCAAAAAGGCAGATAGTCATTGCTGTAAGTTCCTGCCCATCCGCTGGGAGGTTAAAAGGGCTAGTACCTTCCTCCTCCATCTTCATCTTCATCTTTTTCCTCTTCTGGGAAACATATTAAAGATTATAACATTAAAAGGCAATTGCATATATGGAAGAAGTTAGAAAGTCAATATGCATGCTCAGGGAAAGGCATAGGCTCAGAAAACACCTGAGAAAACCTCACATTTATACCTCAGATGGATCTTTGACACACAGTCATCCCACAAAAACAAAAACAAAAACAAGAACAAAATAGCAAGCCCTGGGGAAGATAATCTGATTTACAGAGTACCTCATTATTAGATTCAAATGTCCAATATTCAACAAAAAAACTGCAGGGCATACAAAGAAATAAGGAAGTATAACCCATTCAAAGAGTAAGGACCAACAAAATTGGTCCCCAGAAAAGCCCTGATGGTAAATCTGTTAGATAAACACTTTAAAACAATTGTCTTATGAGTGCTCAAAGAACTCAAGAAAAATGTGGAAAAAGTCAAGAGAATAATATGTAGCCAAAATGGAAATATGAATAAGTACAAAGCCTAAAAAAGAAATTCTGGAATTTAAAGAGTAAATTCACTAGTAGTACTCAAAGACACAGTTGAGCCGGCAGGAGGGTTTGCGAACTTAAAAACAAGACAATGAAAATTGTCAAGGATGAAGGATAAAAAGGAAAAGAATTGAAGTGAAGTGAGTAAACTCCATGGGACTTATGTGATATCATCAAGCAAACCAATACATGTATTGTAGGATTTCCACAAGCAGAAAAA